GTGTCAACTAAACTGATGAATGGGCTCTGAAATGGAAAAGGTGCAGAGTGGGAAGATTAGCTGAGCAATTAAAGCCCTTGGTTCACCGCATCTCTGGACAGTGTAAATGGAGATGGGTGATTTATAACCAAAAAACCTTGACCTTCCCCATTACAACATACAAAGCTGCAACGTAAAGACATAGGGTGATACTGAAGGCAGCAGAGGAGCAAACTTCATCTGCATGCAGGCAAGATATTGTGGGGTTCCAACAAACAAGACATCAGAGTAAATGATAAATCTCTTGCTCTCTGGCTGTTGGTTCACTCACTGTTGAATCATAGACAGTTGCAGAAATTAACAAAATGTCAGTTCATTTAAGTATATGAATGCACTCATCGATTATACATTCAGGTTGATCCACCTTTAAAGTTCATGTTTTCAAAACAAGATAAAATAAGCGGTGAACTGTAGTGCTGCCATTTGGAGATGTATTTACAGTGTATGATGAATACTGGACCTTTTAATCTAGACAGTCTTGTTTAATCACACAGGTGTAGAGCAGTCGAGCAGAGCAGGCGCTATCAGATATAAAGAATGAGGTCAAACAGTGTCTGTCATTCATTTAATTATTATTATTATTATTATTAGTAGTAGTAGTAGTAGTAGTAGTAGTAGTAATATTTCAGTTGGAATCTCAATTGTAAATTTTTCTTTTAACATTCAAGGTACAGGTACAAGGTACATACAGGTACAGCACAAATACTAAACTAAAATAAATCAAATTAACAACATACCTTATGGTAAGGTTGTTTTCTCATCTGATGTTTCCAAGGTCAAGAAGGAACTTTGAACCTTATTTACACATTGAGCAGATGCTTAGTATTTACATTTAAAAGTCATTTTGTGTAATGACTCGATACATTGTTCACACAAATATCACATACTGTAGTTTTAAAGTACCACTAATACTAACTGTTGGAGTTTAATGGTTATATTATATTGAGTTTAAAGTCTCCGGTTGCAGAATAAAGTCATTAAAAAATCCATCCTAGTGGAACTTAAACTGTAGTACAGTGAACTGGGTACTAGACTTCTTTTTAGTCCCCTTGCAACCCTCTCCAGGAATATAGATATAGTATAAATAATAGATGGGTGTACTTTTTTACAGTGAGTTTCTTTGTTGATAAAAAAGCCCAGTAACTTGAAGACTTACACAGCCAGGAAACATGGAGCAACATTAGCATTCTTCTGTAGTGGTGTTTGAGCCCACCTGATGGATGCAAGCCCATTGTTCACTCTCCTTTTAACTATGATTTGGTCTCCACCAATTCCAGAGGGAAACAGCAGGCTCTTTGGGTCTTAGCTAGTTACCTTGTCTGTCTGCTGTCTAGTCCTGTAGTATACTGTTGGCTTGTCAGTACACTTCATCAGTACACTTATTTTTTTTTAACATGGAAACAGCTTTCTGCTGCTACTAGGAACATTTGTGATGAGATGAGAGCAGTGAGAATGAACCACAGTAAAAATGTGGACTGTTGCACTGAAAGACACTAAAAGCTTTGTACAGCTGAGGCGTACTGGTCATTTTGGCGATATTATTCAGTGAGTTCATCACTACAGTGACTTCTGTGACATCACAAATAGTCATAATCATAGTCTTAGTCATCGGCTCCGCTGTTAAAATAAAATAATTGGTGAGTGCAGCTTTAAGTACAGTAATGACAAATATTTGCATATTTGACTATATGTGGGTAACACTTTAATTTCAGTTCATACAGCAGCAGCTTCCTGGTTGATACATGATGCACTTTGTCTCCAAATAACGACATGAACCTCTTGTTTGGTACTTAATGAGGTACAGCATAGTTAATACTCAGAGAATACATGAGATGCACATTTGTATGCTGCTCCTGGGCTTAATGGGGCTTGATGATGGTAATACTTCATCTGGTCGATCTACATTTTTCAGTCAGTGCAAACAGGCTCACGGTGCAGTATGACCTTCTTTAATAAACAAAACCATTTATACACCAGAGTGAGGTAGGATACACACCACTGGGCATTGTTTGCAGTGAATCTGGCATTTCAAATACAAGTAATTTGCTCACAGAGCATCTAGAAGAAGAATGGGAAACAGGATATATTTCACACCAGAAACAAGGAGGCATTTATAGCAATGCAATTCATTTCCAGTGAGACATCCCAGAGATCAATACCCAATATTCTCATGAACTCATCTGGCCATCGTTCACCCTGGACGAAGCTCTTCTCCTGGCATTGCAGAGGGTGATCAATGCATAATTGCTCTCATTGACGGTGACATTTTATATATATGGTTAGTGCTGGATGTTTCAAAACTGAATGCCCACTGCAGAAATCACAAGGATAAGTTGTTTTTTTTGGTTTCATTTAATCTTTCATAGCAATTCACAAACTAAAACATGGATGACTGAGCAAGTGGTTTAACTGAATGTAACAGACAAAAGTGAAGGATTTTATTATGGGAAATTCAGTGATTCAAGGATGAGTGACATAAAACACATTGAAACAAAAACACAGCAATGACTATTATTATTAAAAGCATTAATTACATACAAACTAAAAAAACAAACTAAAATAATATATAATGTACACAATGTAGAGAGTTATGATTGAGCATGATTCAGCTGGAAACAAAGTGCAGGGCTATAGCGTTGCAAAGTGGGAGTTGTTCCTTTATGATATTCCTGTTTCATTTTTCAGTTCAAATTCAAAACACCTTGTCATTATGGTTGAGAACAACACAATTCACCATATCTGCTGAAAGAGCTGATGAAGGCTTTACAATTTAACTGCACATTGTGTTTTCAGTTTTTGTCAATGTCTTTAGCACATGTTAAAACTTTTAGGCTGAGTGACTGGATGGTTCTGGGCTGAAATGCACTTTGGGAGACATAATTAATGTCTGCCTTGAAGAATGTATGCAGACAGTACACTCTTCTTAATCTTTTGTAGCCTGTTAATGATTGAACCAGGAGAGTGGCATGTCCATACAAGCCACAGAAGTGAGTCAACAGTTAGTCATGTAACAATTTCTATGGGGAAAATGAATAGGACTTTTATTTACACCTAAGCACCAGAGGCACTCAAGCTTTTCTCAGTCTCATCTCTTATCTCTTAACTTTGCTTCTTTGTTCTCAACAACCTTGTAATTTTGCTTTCCCTGGCTTCTTTACAAAGAGCAAAAACTTTAACTTCTCAAGTCTGACTCAAGCTCTAGGTTTGTGTGGTCAAATGAACAGAAGTGTTTGTTGCCAAAGACAGTTTTAAAAGTTCAAGATCCAGAAAAACTATATCACAGATCTCTTTGTTAGCAGTAACAACTATCCCAGAGAAAAAAGAACAGTGAGGCAGTTAAAGAGAGCTCTGAGACAACTGTGATGAATCCTAAAGGATGATTCAAAGTCAAAGAGCAGCCACAGCTCACGTTTATTAAAAGTGGGACTTTTTATAAGACTGCTCCCGGTACTTATGAATTGTACCGCGTCCTGCTGGGTGTATAGCTTTTACTGGAGAGGAGACAGTTGTATATCACCTCTTTTTAAACTCATGCTCAGGGACGAGACTTTGGAAAACATATGTGTCACTGTGATTTGTGTCCCTCTCCAGTTTACTGGCATTGACTGTTTTTTTTATCCACTTGTTTTTTCTTAGTATTACACATCAGGGTGTCCCAAACACTGTGACAGACCCATAAACATCTTTATAACTCTTCTGTATCCTGAGCAAACAAAACACTTCAGTTTACTGCTGTATGCAAGTGTGTGCTCATATTAAATGGCTTGTCATTTAACATGGTTACATATTTAGATCTCTGGTTTATATCCAGTAAAAATGTAAAAAAAAAAAAAAAAAAAGTTTATATATACTGTAAATACATGCAATGGCAAGAGTTTCAGACAGACTCAACTGTTTTTCTAGTTGGAGCCATGAAATAAATTCAATATTGTAAAAATAGTTTTTGGCCGCTACAGGGGGCAGACAATATCTGAACAAGTTGAGATTTCTTTCCTCTGTGACAGGATAAGACTTGTTTTGTCTTGTTATCACTTTACATGGAAAGACCAGAACCACCAACGTGTTAGTCTATCTGTCAGGAATTTCTGACACCCCCTAACCTGACTGTGGCACTCAGGCTCAAACCCAATGGCTCCTACTGAAGATAAATATATTTTAAAATGGATAACCAATATATTATTTCTTATTTTTTATTGATCAAAAATCTCCTAAAATAGCTGAGCATGGTGGTTTTCAGCAGACATTACTCAAACAGGACATTTCAGTTAGGGTATTTACAATTATTAAATTACAATACAAATATGTGCATATTTGCTCTGAGTGTTTGATAGTCAGTTATAAAACTAACCCAGCTAATTGTGTTGAGTCTTAGCCACACACACATGCACATTCAGCATCAGCCATCCATTTTAATTACAGCATACAGTATATATAGTTGTGGTGATGGTTTTGGAATAAAGTGTTTGTGATCTTGGAGTCACGACCGGACAAAGACTGGGACTGTGACATCTGGATAATCTTCTTTTATTTTGAGATTTTCAGCTGTGAAACTTCTGCTGCCACGACAATTTAGTTTGTGTTATTAAAATCATAAAAAAACTAGACAGCACTCAGAGAGCTCAGCTCTCCCAAGGCAGCTCACTGTCCCCATAATCCCATTCCAGCTAAAAACAATATTCTCATGATAGTTTGACCCTCATAATATAAGTCAGTCACTGTGAACACCTACCCCTAATTTGGAATCACACTGATATTGTTAATAATTTAAAAGTTATTTAAAGAAAATCTATATATAATTAATGGTGGTTTTCTTCAGGATCTAGCAAGTAACTTTTGAATCTGTTGACTCTCTTCTAAATGAGCAGTTTTAGCTAGAATTTGATCAGTAGTGAGTTTTCCATGAGCCCTATAAATGTCACCGTTCTCCATCAGTACATCTGAAATATTACTTCAATCCAAATCATGGGTGATAGATCTTACGGGGAATTCTGCAATATTTGTCCAAGCATTCTAGGAATTATGTACAGTATGCAAGCAAAAACACTGAAATTGGCACCTCTACCTTTACCTCATACAGGTACAACCCAGTGTCAATTCATAACAGGCATGAAGAGGAATAGAAAACAGTGATCAGGCCATTTTTACCAAATGCATGGAGTTTAACAGGAGATTCGACAGAGAAGAGTTACTACTGGCTTTCGAGCAACATGCTGCCAATTTTGTGCAGCTGAACATTCATCCACTCCAAACTGTAAAATCTCTTGAGGCTCTGTATGAAATGTCATTTAAATATCAGGAACATCAGTTCCCACTGACCGTGATACTCCCTCTGAGCAGCATCTCTCATATGAACAGTGATGAAGTGCAGCAAAGCAAGCAAGCAACAGCTGGCATACAGATATTAAACTGATCTGTTTCCACCCCTGAGAAAAGAAGGCTGAGGTGTCAGACACCAACACAGTTGACTGGTTGAAGAAAGTCAGGGTGCAACTCAGGGGCACACAGATAGACAATAATTTGTGAGGAACTCAAACAACCTCACCTCTGTCTTACTCACCTTTTTATTTGTGGAACAGATTTTTCCATCCTTGCCTATAAATGTGCTACATTTATAGCATCAACACACAGAAACACACACACAACTTCAGGGGACATTACATAGACTTACATTCAATTCCTGGAGACTTGCCCTAGCCCTAACTATAACCATTACCTGCCTAACTCTAACCTTAACCCAAATCATAACCCAACCCTAACCTTAAGCCAAGTCAAGGTCAAAGGTCAACGGGTTTATTTGTTATATACACAGTTAGGAAACATGTTTCCCTGTACAATGAAATTCTTACTTTGCCAGCATCATCATTCAAAATGCAGTGATTTACTTTTTGGGGACTTGCTTTAAGGAGGTTAAGTCCCAACAGTGTGACTGTGTAAACAGATTTACATCCCCACAATGTGAGTAATACCAGGCCATGCACACACACACACACACACACACACACACATTTCCTTGCAGTTATCACTTACAGGGTCTGTACATAGACTTACATTTACTTCCAGGAGACATACCTGAACCACAAACACACACACAGGTTGCCTTAGCCTATATCAAGATAAACCAATAAATGAGCTTTTACTGACATCTTATGGCAAATTCCCATCATTACACCAACCTCAAACATGTTGAAACCTGGCTCTGGTTTCAAAACATTTGGCCCATTTGCTTATAGATTACATGTCTATAAAATGTTATGTTAAAAAGGCTAAGATGCTACAATTTATTTAACAGGGCTCCAGAGGAAGAGAACAGTAAATCCACACTGAGCAACTCGAGCAGCAGTGTGTGTGGGATTGAGTTAAAACAAAGTACAGTGTGTGTTCATGGTAACAAAGAAACACGTCACTCGGTGCAACAGTGCAACTATGGGTGACATTGATCCATATCTGCAAAGAGATGGACCACTTTGCTCGAGAATGAAATATCTCAAAAAACATTTTGGTGCATTGCCACATATAGACTTTTATGTTCCACAGAGAATGAACCAGAGACGCCAGAGACAGATGGTGGCTAACGTTATTTTAAAGAAGTTACTAAAACCAAGCAGCCATCCTAGCTCTAGCTAGCTAGTTGCTGTTAGATGTATCAGAGGCTAATCATCCGCTGGGATAGCTAGCTACCACAGCAAGACCTGCACAGACCTGATTATTTTAAAATCCCATAAAATCCATTTTTATACAGTTTTAATTAACAACGTTTGATGTTCTCACTGAGAACATACACAAAAAGCAGCTCATGGTGATTTAAACAGAAAAGTTAGAGTCAGAATTAGTGACACAGTGCTCAGTTTGTAACAGACAATTAGAGTCCTCAGTGGCTATAAATGCTTTCAATTTATAGTTGCACTTTGAGGTTTTTTGGTTTTCTAAAATGAACACCACAGAAAAGAACTGATAAAAGATGCTAAATGAAACACCGTTGCTTTACAGAGGTAAACATGATTGGTAAACATCAGCACACTGGTGTATTATTTCAAGGCACTTAAAGTAAATAAATATAGAGTAAATACAGTTGCACAGAATGACAGTGGAGCTCTATGGCACATACAAACAAATCAGGCTTTGGATAAACACACAATCAGCATTAGCAGAATACCTTCACTGTTGGTTATGGTCTCGTCATGGAGTTTGAAAAAATATAAAATTTCATCAGACTTACTGTTAATAACAAGCTTTGAAAACAGTGTTTCTCTGCTGCCCATCTCTTTGCTCAGGACAGTATTTGATTTATATACATACCATATTTTCTTAGTCTAAATCATTTCCTGCTCTGTGCAAATTTTAGGTTGATGCACTTGATGTTCTTCATCAGTGAGAAAGTGTACATGCAGTACGGGAGGAGACTGAAGAAAAGTGTACAATTAAATTGGAGGGTCACTTTAAAGCTACCTAAGGGCAAATTACACAAATAATCAGGGTCTGAGAGGTTAAAGAGCATCTACAGACTGGTGTGTGCACCACCTGCTTTGAAAACGTTAAGCAAATTTTCTAAAGACAATGGTCAACAGGCCTCCTCTTAACCTGTTATGGCTAGGTCTTCTCCACTGGACATTTGGAATTTGAATATTCACACAAATTTCACTCCATGTTATGCAATATGCACTGGCTCTGTTCAGGACCTGCAGCACTGTATATACATGATATCTCACAGTTGACACCATCTGGACTTAATTCAAGAAATACAACCATAATTTAATCTCACATAACTCTATAAAATTAAAAAATTATAACGGCCCTCACAGAGAAACGTCATTGCAGCTGGTAGGAAACTATTTCCTCCAAAAGTAAAATCAATGAAACAAATATAACCATGACATAGTGTATATGGGCTTATAATGTCTAAACCTGTGATGGACAGGTGACCTGATCACAGCCCAAGAGCACACTAGGATAGAATCTACCCATTCTTAGTTGACACTAGGAGAAAGGGCTGCTGGTAATTATTATTTTCATTAGTAATTAATCTGTTGGTTGTTTTATTGTATCTATATAATGTCCATCACAATTTCCCTGAGACCTAGGTTATGTCTTTAAGCATCTCCATTTTGTCTAACCAAGAATCCAAAAGAGTCCTTTGTCATAAGACAAATGAAAGCAAGTTATATAGGTTTATTAATAGGTTTAAAGCCCATGCACATCATTAATATTAGCAGGAAAAGCACAGACAAAACATATTTTGTTAACAATTATGGCAGTGATCTACCATGCAAAATACCAGGACCCTGGAATTTGCTCACATACTGTAAACTGAGTAGAAATTTCTTAATGTTACTGCTAACATCTGCCATTGCCGTTATGACAAACCCCTTTGAGAGATTACAAAGGTTGCAAACGCTTTTTGTAGCCAGCTCGTTCTCATTTTCTTCTTGAAGTATCCCCACCCTTCCTCGCTGATCACTTCAAGTTCTGATATATTTATGGATGTGACAATGTTTCTGACAAATTTTGGATGAATGTCCCCCTCAGGATAAATTGTAATAACTTGTAATTTCTTCACTTAATTCTTTTAAAACAAACACAGACTCTTAATCAGTCCTTTTCCTACTGCAGCTGCTTGACCAGCTCCTTGTCCATCTCACAGTCTGAAGGTTTTTGTGGCTTCTCCACCTTGTCTCTGCTCATCTTCACCCTCGGTTTGAAGGGCACCGAAACGAGCTCCTTCTGGATCCTCTGTTCTCTTTGCCTTCTCAGCAGAGCCAGGATCTCTCTCCTCTGGTCCGCCATGGCGACGTATCGCTGTCTTTCTTCCTGCCTCTGCCGTAGAGCATGGACACTTAGCGGCCCCGGGGCGGCGACTTTGGGGCCAACAGTGATGGTGGTGCTGCTGCGCTGCGGCCGGGAAACCGGCAACCTCTGACGGATATCTGCCGACACCAACCGGGACTCCAGCGGCGGCAAGAGGGACAGAGAACTCCATAGTTGCCTGGCGTGGGACACGTCCTCCGGAGAAGAGCCGTCAAACACAGTGAAGAATTTATGACAGTCCTCCTGCTCCGGGGGCTCATCCTGGACAGACATTTTACTTTTAGGACAGAAAAATGTAACTGGGGTAACTAATTGAATTGCCAAGAAGCTAAATTACCCTTTTAAAGACTTTATTTTAGGTGTCTACCGTTTGTTATCATTTACAGGATGAATAGTCTGTTATTTCATCTCGAACTCTTTTCCTTTTGTAACCTGCACCAATTAGGCTACATCTTTTTCAGGGGCAAAGTTAATTTAAAGGTTTAAGGTTTATTTATAGAATTATCTTAAGGCATTTATGCCTCAAACTAAATAAAATAACTAACCAGATTTCAAGTCTGTCACCATGTCTATAGTTTAAGAACTGGTTTATGACTAAATTAGCCTATAGCTTATTCTTCACTACGTCACCATTAGGCTAATTGTAGCCGAGTTAGCAGGTAGAAGTGGGGCTTTGAATAAACCTCTTGATTTCTCGCTCGTGACCTGTAGCCAACTTTGGAAACGAGGCAGGTCGCACAAGTTGCTCCACCCCCAGGTGTGGTGGGTCGGTTTAAATAGTGTTGAGGAGCAAGGACGACATCAGAACCACCACCATCATCATCACTTCATTTACCTGACATGATATGCTCTTTTCCCTTGAGTTCAGCCTACATCCTGCACTGAAGACTGAAGTAGCCTACTGCACAGTGAGTAGAAATTAAATGCCACAATTTTCATGCAGAAGACAGATAGAGGCTCTTATTACTTCTATTGTATTCTATTATTACTTCTGAATTGTAGTAATGTCATCTAAACCTGCAAAGAAAAAGACAAAAAGTGGCCTGTTAACAGGTAAAGGTTCTGTTACTCATGAGACCAAAACACATTAGTTATGTTTGCTGTTACAAAGTAACAGATGGTAGAGAAAATTACTATTTAAACAGTGTAATTCAAAACTAAAAGTTTGCTGCATGATTGAAAATCTGTAGCTGTGGGCAAAGCTTTAAAAAGCTGGTAGTACATTAAAACATTACATTTCCCAGTACATAATAATAAATATATTTTGATTTCTGCTCACAAATGTGCTATGGTTTGCCTGTATGCCAGGAGCCACACATGGATGCGTCTAGTGACATGTCACCATTTTGGTGTAAACGGTAAGCCTGGCTGGACCTACAGTATGAGCTGAACCATATAGGGTAGTATGTCTGCTAAGTCCCTAGTATCACTCTTTGGGCTACCAAGCTACCAAGAGTAAAGGGTTAGCCAAACATGGGCATTCTGGCATGGCAGCTCAATTATATGATTATATGGGTTATCTGTGTGTTGCTTTTCATGTTTTATTGCCCTCTGTTCAATGGGAGGTCAAAGCAGCCTTGTGATCTACATGAAGAGGCAGACACTAGGATAAATCAGTAAGTAGCTATATGCAAACCTAGGAAAATGTACAGAGATTGTTATCATCAGTAACCTGTCAGACAGTTCAGTCAAACCAAATGTAAATGACTTGTGTGAAGTGTCGGATGCAAAGACAGCAATTTGAGTCACAGAGGGAGGGAGAATGCAGTAGAAAACATGAGATAATGTGTCCTGTTATTGTACTCATCAGTTCTACGTTTTTTGTGTGATGATGTTTAAGAAGGAGTTGCATGACTGTTTAAGGACAGTTACTTCAGTTTTACAAAGCTTAGATATTGTGACTGAAATTTAGTTAGAGAAATACCCACAATATGAAATCTAGTCACTAATCCTTTGGTAGCAATAGAGAATAACTCAACATGTGCTGGGGATGGAACCATTAATCCTGTGAAAACCTGCTGAGTCTCAGTCATCCCTCAAAATATACTTGGGGTGACAAATATGCTCTGTGCTAAACTGTCCTCACAATGTTATTAAGCATTTTGATTACATATTTTTCCAAACTGACAGGCTAGGATGTTTGTGTAACTTTGCTAACAGGATAGATTTAGACTTAATGTTAGTAACTTATGAAGCTCAGTTTCCTCAGGATTTTAAACTACATCTTCTTTGGCTCTGCAGATAACATTCTAGTCTGAGTAAATAACCCAGATGATGTCATAGTGATGTTATCAGGGTTTTCATTCAGGATTGGTTTCATGATTAACAGAAAAATAAACGGTAGCTATTTTTCTAAGCTATTTATTGTTTATTTCATAAGCAAATGCATCAATATTTACCTTGTTGCAGCTTCTCAAATGTGAGAATATGTTACAATTAAATTAAGACTGTTAAAAGACTACCGACTGAAACGAATGACACTTCCTGTTGTTTGGTAGGGTCACCATGGAAACGTGATTAGTACGGCAAGCTTCAGGGACAAAAGTCATATCATGGGCACAATCCATGAATGTATGGCGCAAACCTTTCAATAATAAATGTAGGTCTATGGGGTAAATATTACCCTGGGGAAAAAACAGTGCTGTTTACAGAAAATATACAGTGTGATCAATAGTCGACGGTCATTATTTCACCTAGTACTGTGAATAAATTAACCCAATTTGTGGGGGTAGGCTAATGTAGCCTAGTTCTTATCAAAGGTCAAAGCATTTATTTGTCATATGCACAGTTAGGAAACGTGTTTCCCTGTACAATGAAATTCTTATTTTGCCGTCCGCATGAATGCCACACAATACAAGTGGTATATAAAATAGATGAGCAATAACACAAATCTAAATAGGCAATAACACAAATCTAAGGCACTTTAAAGCAGCAAGAGAAAGAAGCACAATAAAGATACAACAAAAACACAATATGATGTAGAGAGAATGTATGCTACGTGGGAGCCGTGAAGTGCAAATAGTCAGCAGTGAGTGTGCAATTATGCATTTAAGTATGTATGTAAACAGTACAGGTGGAATAACGAGGTGAGGTCCTGAATCAGCTGTCAGTCAGAAATAAATAGTTTTTCATTCTAGAGGTCCTGCATTTCACACCTCTGAGCCTCCGACCAGAGGGTAGGGGTGTGAACAGTCCGTGCTGGGGGTGGGTGGGGTTTTTGAGGATGGAGGCAGTTTTCCTAAGCACCCACCGCAGGGTGCTCTGCAGAGAGGGCAGTGGAGTCCCGGTGATCTTCTCCGCAGTCTTTACCACTCTTTGCAGGCGCTTGTAGTTCATAGCAGTAGTGCTGCCATACCAGACAGTGACGCAGCTGAGGCTCCTAGGCGACATGCCAAACCTCCTCAGCCTCCCCTTATGCATTTAAAGAAAGAAAAAGACAGAGAGAGAAAGCAAGAAGCTAAATTACCCTTTTAAAGACTTTATTTTAGGTGTCTACCGTTTGTTATCATTTACAGGATGAATAGTCTGTTATTTCATCTCGAACTCTTTTCCTTTTGTAACCTGCACCAATTAGGCTACATCTTTTTCAGGGGCAAAGTTAATTTAAAGGTTTAAGGTTTATTTATAGAATTATCTTAAGGCATTTATGCCTCAAACTAAATAAAATAACTAACCAGATTTCAAGTCTGTCACCATGTCTATAGTTTAAGAACTGGTTTATGACTAAATTAGCCTATAGCTTATTCTTCACTACGTCACCATTAGGCTAATTGTAGCCGAGTTAGCAGGTAGAAGTGGGGCTTTGAATAAACCTCTTGATTTCTCGCTCGTGACCTGTAGCCAACTTTGGAAACGAGGCAGGTCGCACAAGTTGCTCCACCCCCAGGTGTGGTAGGTCGGTTTAAATAGTGTTGAGGAGCAAGGACGACATCAGAACCACCATCATCATCATCACTTCATTTACCTGACATGATATGCTCTTTTCCCTTGAGTTCAGCCTACATCCTGCACTGAAGACTGAAGTAGCCTACTGCACAGTGAGTAGAAATTAAATGCCACAATTTTCATGCAGAAGACAGATAGAGGCTCTTATTACTTCTATTGTATTCTATTATTACTTCTGAATTGTAGTAATGTCATCTAAACCTGCAAAGAAAAAGACAAAAAGTGGCCTGTTAACAGGTAAAGGTTCTGTTACTCATGAGACCAAAACACATTAGTTATGTTTGCTGTTACAAAGTAACAGATGGTAGAGAAAATTACTATTTAAACAGTGTAATTCAAAACTAAAAGTTTGCTGCATGATTGAAAATCTGTAGCTGTGGGCAAAGCTTTAAAAAGCTGGTAGTACATTAAAACATTACATTTCCCAGTACATAATAATAAATATATTTTGATTTCTGCTCACAAATGTGCTATGGTTTGCCTGTATGCCAGGAGCCACACATGGATGCGTCTAGTGACATGTCACCATTTTGGTGTAAACGGTAAGCCTGGCTGGACCTACAGTATGAGCTGAACCATATAGGGTAGTATGTCTGCTAAGTCCCTAGTATCACTCTTTGGGCTACCAAGCTACCAAGAGTAAAGGGTTAGCCAAACATGGGCATTCTGGCATGGCAGCTCAATTATATGATTATATGGGTTATCTGTGTGTTGCTTTTCATGTTTTATTGCCCTCTGTTCAATGGGAGGTCAAAGCAGCCTTGTGATCTACATGAAGAGGCAGACACTAGGATAAATCAGTAAGTAGCTATATGCAAACCTAGGAAAATGTTCAGAGATTGTTATCATCAGTAACCTGTCAGACAGTTCAGTCAAACCAAATGTAAATGACTTGTGTGAAGTGTCGGATGCAAAGACAGCAATTTGAGTCACAGAGGGAGGGAGAATGCAGTAGAAAACATGAGATAATGTGTCCTGTTATTGTACTCATCAGTTCTACGTTTTTTGTGTGATGATGTTTAAGAAGGAGTTGCATGACTGTTTAAGGACAGTTACTTCAGTTTTACAAAGCTTAGATATTGTGACTGAAATTTAGTTAGAGAAATACCCACAATATGAAATCTAGTCACTAATCCTTTGGTAGCAATAGAGAATAACTCAACATGTGCTGGGGATGGAACCATTAATCCTGTGAAAACCTGCTGAGTCTCAGTCATCCCTCAAAATATACTTGGGGTGACAAATATGCTCTGTGCTAAACTGTCCTCACAATGTTATTAAGCATTTTGATTACATATTTTTCCAAACTGACAGGCTAGGATGTTTGTGTAACTTTGCTAACAGGATAGATTTAGACTTAATGTTAGTAACTTATGAAGCTCAGTTTCCTCAGGATTTTAAACTACATCTTCTTTGGCTCTGCAGATAACATTCTAGTCTGAGTAAATAACCCAGATGATGTCATAGTGATGTTATCAGGGTTTTCATTCAGGATTGGTTTCATGATTAACAGAAAAATAAACGGTAGATATTTTTCTAAGCTATTTATTGTTTATTTCATAAGCAAATGCATCAATATTTACCTTGTTGCAGCTTCTCAAATGTGAGAATATGTTGCTTATTCTTTATTTATGTCATTGTAAACTTAATATGTTGGAGATTTATACTGCTAGACATTTTAATTTATATATTTTGATTCCAGGAAGTTTTAATAGGCTACTGCTCTAATTTGTGACGAAATTTTTAGACAAAACAATTAATCAATGAATGGACAAAATAACTGATTAACTGATAATGGAAATAGTCATTAGTTGCAGCCCTGTTTGGTTAAAATGTATAAATGTAAAGTTTCTGTTACTGGAGATATGGACTTATTACTTCTGTATTATGGGAACTGTAGGAACCAACATTTTTAATTGATTCACATCAGGGATTAAAGTCACCATAGCTTGACCTCTGCTACATAAATTTTGACCATTGTTTTTTTAATGTGTCCCCAAAATTTTGAGAATGTAAAACCAAGTCACCAGAGTATCTCCTTCAGTTTAGGCTAATATTTTGCTACATTTTGGCAACATATATGGACTGATAATACTCAGAAAATAGGAGAGGAATTTCTCAAATTCAGAAAAGACAGACATGATCAATATATACACAAATACAGACAATCAGTGGCATAACTAATGGAGTACACATAATTTTACAATAAAAAAAAAACATATTGTGTAGTAGTTCACATTTTCTGCCACGTCTTTTGTGCTAATAGGCCAGAAGACAAACAGAGGTCAGAGATCAACTCAACTCCATTCACTGCAGCAGAGGCTGAACCAGTCACCGGTGACTATCCAGACATCAGCTCGATCACCTCTGAACCACCCAAGATCGCCTTTGACACGATCACCTGCACCACACAGTTCAATTCAGCTTCTAAGAGTGATATTTCCAACATGGCTGAGCCAGCTACTGACGACAGCAAGTGCCTCTTCTTGGAAAATGATTTTTGCAACAGTGGGGTGGCACAAGCTGACTGGGCAGCCAAGAAGATGGTTTGGGTGCCATCAGAGAGGGAGGGCTTTGAGCCAGCCAGCATCAAGGAGGAGAAGGGTGATGAGGTAATGCACACTTGGTGATGTCATTGTTATCAAATGATGCTGCAGGGTACTATAGTGTGTGTACATGCATTTACAGTAAGCAAGCAGACTACTCAGAGAAACCATTTTACATGGGTAATTGGAAAACACCTTTATGTGCAGCTCAAGTAACCTGGTTTCTGTCAGTCTGTGTCTGGCAGAGCAGAGCTACCAATCACTGTGCGAAAGTGTCTGAATTTAACAAATAATCAAATGTTCAGCAGTGGAGATAAACTTATTTAAACCTCAAACGGCTACTTTGTGTTAGTTTCAGTTTCAGTCAGACTTTCAATGGGATTACTTTAAAAGTACATCACTCTGTATAATGAGCTTTTCCTTCATCCATCTTTTGAACCTTTCTCTGTCTGCAGTATTTTGTCATGCATGTACATACTTTAAAAAAACTATTAAAAAGGCAGTTATGTGTATATATATACAATTTCACTTTGTAAACGCAAAATCTATCTGGGGAAGCCAGCCGACTGTAAACTAGTTTTACATCAAGTGCAGTTAAATGTATTGCAAGTCACATGACTATTTACAAGTACACATACTTTTTAACAAGCATTTTAACCCATTAATTGGCTAACCCAGAACATTAAAAACTGTATTTACTTTGAGCACTACCAACAGAAAACCTTTTTTTATTTTAAATGACTATATAGTTGTGAGTAATGGCTAGCATGCCAGTTTACAATAAAAAGGCACATTCAACTAACTTTTATATTTTTTTAGCCATTAAAGTCTATTATGGGACAATTCTAATAACTGTTTAGGAGCAAGACCAATGTATAAAACTTGACCACTAGTTTAAAGATTGATAAATAAAATAAAAAATTAACTAATAGTCGTATAATGATAACAAAATGTCAGAGTTTTAGTGAAGTAATTATAAAAAGGCACCCAAAAAAATAAAATGTAAGCAAATAAACAAATGTAGGCAACATTTCAAATCTGGGTTTCAGTTTATTATTGAGGTCATAGTTAAAGGTAGTGTTGTACTGGACTACATTACATTCAGAGGTGTTCCTAATATTCTGACCATTTTATATGTACAGTGCCTTGCGAAAGTATTCGGCCCCCTTGAACTTTGCGACTTTTTGCCACATTTCAGGCTTCAAACATAAAGATATAAAACTGTAATTTTTTGTGAAGAATCAACAACAAGTGGGACACAATCATGAAGTGGAACGAAATTTATTGGATATTTCAAACTTTTTAACAAATAAAAAACTGAAAAATTGGGCGTGCAAAATTATTCAGCCCCTTTACTTTCAGTGCAGCAAACTCTCTCCAGAAGTTCAGTGAGGATCTCTGAATGATCCAATGTTGACCTAAATGACTAATGATGATAAATAGAATCCACCTGTGTGTAATCAAGTCT